AGAGCCTGACCTTGGGGATTCGTGGCTGAGCACGTGGCTGCCCTGCAGCACACACCTGAGGCCTAGGGAGCAGAAGGTGCAGGGTGGCTGTGTGTCTTGCACGCCCCTGTGTGCGCACTGCTATGCCAGGAGCCCTTCTCCTGCACCCACTGCTGGGCCTCAAGGTCCAGGGACCAGACAGACCCACAGGGGACGGGCACCCACCTGCAGGCCAGCAGGGTCCCAGTCAGTCTGGATTCTGTTCCCACTGACACCAAGGCCTCCTGCCTGGGTGTCCTCAGGAACCCAGCCGCCTGTCCCGTCCCGAGAAGTCCCAGCCGCACCCTCCTGCCACCATCACCGGGCTGCCTGCCGCGGTGATTGCTCCTTTTAATTTTCAGTCTCTGTATGAATGTCACACCCGTTTCCCAGGGGCTCAGCACAGCTCATCTGGGCCCTTTGTGAGTCATCTGTGTCCTTCCGTAGGTGTCGGGGGGCAGGTGCGTTTTTTGGTTTTTTGAGGTCAAAGGCTAGCACTCTGGACTTTATAGGGTTTTCTCTCCGAAGTCACTTACTTGTCAGAACTTTCCAGAGGGCCCAGTCTTCTTTGTTGGTTCTGAAGGCAGAGATTTCTCTCCATAGCCTTCCTGAAGCAGGCAGTCTGGGCGTGGGATTTAACCCAAGACCCGAGTCCTACCTGGCCCTCTGTGACTTGGCTTGCACAGTGCACAGCCTGAGCCATCTGCGCCTCTGTTGCAGAGACAGCGGCCAGCCGTAATTAGCCAGCGGCACCCAGGCTGTGGGCGGGCGCTGTCCAGCCAGGCTGCGGACTGTGCCGCTGATTTAATGACAGGCTGCCAGGGCGGGTCTCTCCAGAATCCAGGCTGCAGCGGTGGCTGCATGAGGCGGGAGCCGGGTGGCGGGGTGGGGGAGGCCGCTTTGATCTACAGGTGAAAGGAGGCTTTATATAGGTCACCTTGCTCCACGTCCTCAATGTGTTCCCAGCCAGGGTCAAACAATGGTCTCACTGTTCTGGGGTCCAGCACGCTCCAGGAGGTGGCCCCGCATCCTGCTCAGCCCCAGCCATGGGTCCCGGTCACCTTGGCCACGTCCCCCACGAAGGACACAGATACTGCAGCAGGGGTGGCTGCGGGCCAGCTGGGCCGGAAGGCACAGCAGGGCAGGTAGGCCCACGGGCTGTGATTGTCACTGAGGAGCGTCTCGGGTTTCAGGCAGGTGGTCGTCCGGCCCCTCCAGCCTCCCCCGGGACCCCCATCCTGCAGCAGCATGGGCAGCCAGGCTTTGGCTGGTGGACAGACAGTAATTTAGGAAGCGTGTAATTGGACGTCGTAGAACAATGTCACTATAATGGCCTGGGATTTAGCTCAGTGCCTGCCTGGCAAGTGTGAGGGTATGAGTTTGATCCTTGGTACCCATGTGGCAGGAAATTCACCCTGCCTATCGTGGACAGGCGACCTGGTCTCTGTGGGTGCAGCCGGGGACGCCCGCATGACAGCGGCCCCATGCTTCCTTGTGAATGAGGCGGCGGAGGGGCGGCGGGTCGCTGAGGAGGAACTTGCTCTTGGCATCTAGCAAGTTCTGCCAGTGCTTTGCAGCCTTTGATTCTCTGTTGTGCACTCAGAAATCACTTTCACTAAGTAATGTATGCATTATAGACTTTTTTTTTTGGCAATTCAAGAAGCATTCAAAGTGCATATATCTCCCTTCCCCCAGGCCGAACCCCGGAAGCAGGCTTGGGGTTTAGCACCCATCCGCCCGTCCGTCCAGCCCTTTGAATCCCGTGCTGTCTGAGCCGGCTCCTGCCCCTCAAGTGGTCTAGCAGTTTGCTTTTCGCAGTGCTGACAGCCTCTCAGACGTCCTGCGCACATCCTCTGATCTGCCCCGGCCCTCAGGGCTGCAGGACATGGGCGGGGCTGGTGGACAAGACTCCCGGCACAGTGGCATCTGGGTATGTGGCATCTGCGTGACCACTGCCGCGTGCCACTCAAGTCCCAGGGAGCTGTCCTGGCAGGTGGCCCCACATCCTCTCTATTGACCCTGAGGGTCCCCACAGGCTCTCGCCTTGCAGCGCTGCTCAGCATGACCTGGGCCTCACTCCTGCCTCAGCCTTGCGTGGGGCAGTGGACAGTGGCGCCCTTCCCCAGCTCACTGTGCGCCTTCTTTGCAGGCCCCTTACAGTGCACTCTGGGGTGTGTTTAGGCCCTGCCCCTCGCGCCCCAGAGGTCCCGTCAGCTCTGGGCTTGCTTCCTTCTGCCTCTGCCAAGCAACGATTTGATCCCCGCCTCCTGGCCGAGGGGTGGGAGGGTCTGGAGGGAGGTTGGTCTGCCCCCTGCTTCTCTTCCTCCCCGGGAAGACCTGCACCGAGGCTGGGGCCACAGCAGGACGAGAGCTGGGGACACCCCGTTCCCGGGGCCCAGGCCAGGACTGAATTTCTGGTGGGTTCTTGGAGCCCTGGGCCAGCCGAGGCAGGTGTGAGCCAGGAGCTGCCTGAGACCCTGGGGGCTCCATGTGGCAGCAATGGGGTGGTGGAGCCCCTCCTGTGGGGAGGCGGAGGGCTTGGGCCAAACCCCAGACTCCGTGTGGTTGGGGTGCAGGGGTGGCTGGGGCCACTGCCGGCTTGACAGGGCTAGGGGACGGAAGGGAGGAGGGACTTGGCTGTCCCCAGCCCCTAACCCTGTTCCCTGTCCTGCAGCACCTCTGGCCTGTGGGAGGCACAGACCTTGGACCCCACATGTGACATCCAGCCAGGCAGCTGAGGACAGAGTGCAGTGGGGGGGCTCGTCATTCTTTGGGGCGACCAGAATCCCAGTGGGGCAAGAGAGGCACAGGCCAGCAGTGGGATGGCCTGGGGCGGGCGTGAGAGGGCGTGTGGAGAAGCAGGGGTGCTCCAGGGGACACGGAGGCTCATTCGAGAGTGGCCAGGGCCCTGCAGGCCCAGGTCAGCCTTGATGCCCACTGCTGTCGTCATCTCCATGCTTGGCATGTGTTTTGCGCACGTGAGTGTACACACAGCAGACAGGGGTGGGCATGTGTGTGCAGGTGCCCATGTGGCCGCGAGGCTGGGGCAGCAGAGGCCTGTCTCTGTCCCCCTACCCCCCCCCGCCCCCGCCCCATTGCTGATCCGCTCTGTGGGAGGTGCCCAGCCACGCCCTTCCCATTTTTTGTGGCCTGGGCTTTTCCCAGGTGGGGACAGGGCTGACTCCTCTGCTTCTTGCAGACTTGTCTGCTCTGTGAACCCAGGCCTGATGCTCCAGGGGCATCTCTAGGCCCCTGGGAAGCCCAGACTCCAGAATTTGTTGCCTGTGACAGCAGAAAATGGGGGTGAGCCAGAGCCAACACCCGGTCCAGTTTGCCTACATCCTGCCGCCAGGTGGTGTCCACTGCTGGACTCGACTGGCCCAGTGGAGCCCTGTGGTAGCAGGAGCTATGCAGGGCCACCTGTGTTCCCACCCCAGCCAGTGCACCCCACCCACCCCGGGTCCATGTGCGGGTGTCTTGGGGGTCGGTAGTTTCGCACAGGGTTGGAACAGGAGGAGCGTGTGGACCCCTGGCTTAGGACTGAGCTGCACCTTGATCTGATCTGGCCCAGTGTCAGCAGCATTTGTCGAGTGGCCAAAAGGCAGCTGTTGGGCCGGGTCTGGAGCCCCAGAGGTGTGGTCAGCAGGGTCCTGCTCAGTGCGGGGAGCACATTCTAGGACGCAACAAAATCAAAAGCCAGCACCCGCCGTCCCAGGCCCTCCCTGGACTGTGGTCGCCACGAGCTCTGGGGAAGCGTGGGACACGGGCGGCCTGCATATTACAGCCAAGCTCAGTCACGCTCAGCAGCGGTGAAGCCAGGATCACCCTGTGTGAGTGCAGGCACCCAGGGTGGCCAGCCAGGGTCCCGGGGGCTTTCGGGAGTGGCCCGTAATTAAAGATAGACAGAAAGAGAGTGAATGCATGGCTTCTCCGCTTTTGCACAGCAAAGAGGTGGCCAGGTGTGTCCGGCAGGAAGGTAGTAGGTGACCAAAAAGAAGCATCTTCATCCAGCCCTGCGGGGGCGGAGGCAAACGGATCAAGAGTGACCCTAGAGTTTTCATGGCCGCCGACCGTGGAGGAGACTCAGGTGTCAGGATGGCCCCAGTACACAGAGTGGGTGGCCCAGGTGGCCTCCACCCCAGGATGTCCCACCCAGGGGGTGCTCCCACCTCTCCCCAGCCCCCCCCCCCCAGCTCAGATGATGTCCCAGCCGAGGCCCTGGCAGCATCACTGCAACCAGCAGTCAGGGGAGCTCTCTGAGGACATTTGCCCCTGCCTGTCCCCTTCCCCCTCTTCCTCCTCCTCCCAGGGAGCTGACAGATCGGGATGTGAGGTCCCGGTACCCACAGAACTTTTTGCACCAGAGCAGTTGCAGCTACAGTGGGACCACTCTGTCCCGAGTTCACCACATTGGGCACAGGAGTCCCAGCCCGTCTCTGAAAGGTGACCATGCCTCTGGGGTGCAGGGGGACCTCTGTCTCACACCACAAAGGGAGGCAAGAAGTGCGAGCTGCCCCGGCATAAGTGCTTTGGGTGCCCAGCCTTCCTGGGGACCTTGTGCCCGGGCCATGCCTGCAGGAGGCCTGCACCCTGAGGCCGGGACCTGTGGGACCCACTGCAGACCCCTTCCTGGTGCCTGGCCCCACAGACCCTGTGAGAGTGGCAGGCCGGTGCTCAGGAGTCCCCTTCTGCCCTCTGTAATCCTGAGCGGGTACATGTGAGCATTCTCTGAGTGCCCAAGCTCACCCAACTTACCAAGAGCGGCCCCTTGCCCTGCTGCTCCACACAGATCTCGTGGTGACAGTGGTGCACAGTGACAGTGTGGCCTCGGGGAGGGCTGGGACCCAGGCTGCCCAGGGATCTCAGGTACAAGCGAGCTGGGGCCCAGGCTGTTGGCCATGCTGTGCCCTGCGCCCCTGGGTGACTCTGTATCCCCTTGTCCTGCGGCCCTGCTCACTGGCTTGCTGTTTCTTTGCCTGCAGGCACCCTGGGCCTGAGGAGCTGTCCCAGCGAGCTCCCCAGGAACCCCAGCCACCCCGAGGTTGATGAGTTTGCCTGGGGAATCCTCGAGCCGGTGAAGCCAGAGGCCACCATGGGTCAGAAGGTCACCGGAGGGATCAAGACTGTGGACATGCGGGACCCCACGTACCGGCCCCTGAAGCAGGAGCTGCAGGGCCTGGATTACTGCAAGCCCACGCGGCTGGACCTGCTGCTCGACATGCCGCCCGTGTCCTACGACGTCCAGCTGCTGCACTCCTGGAACAACAACGACCGCTCCCTCAACGTCTTTGTCAAAGAGGACGACAAGCTGATCTTTCACCGGCATCCGGTGGCCCAGAGCACAGACGCCATCAGGGGCAAAGTCGGGTACACCAGGGGGCTGCACGTGTGGCAGATCACGTGGGCCATGCGGCAGCGGGGCACGCACGCGGTGGTGGGAGTGGCCACGGCGGACGCCCCGCTGCACTCTGTGGGGTATACGACCCTCGTGGGGAACAACCACGAGTCCTGGGGCTGGGACTTGGGGCGCAACCGGCTCTACCATGACGGCAAGAACCAGCCAAGCAAAACGTACCCAGCCTTTCTGGAGCCGGACGAGACGTTCATCGTCCCTGACTCCTTCCTCGTGGCCCTGGACATGGACGACGGGACCCTGAGCTTCATTGTGGATGGACAGTACATGGGCGTGGCTTTTCGGGGACTCAAGGGCAAAAAACTGTACCCTGTAGTGAGTGCCGTCTGGGGCCACTGCGAGATCCGCATGCGCTACTTGAATGGACTGGATCGTAAGTGTTGCACGACACGTCTGAGGCGGTGCTGTCTCCGGGGCCCCTGGTCCTGGCTGGGCTTGGGCTGAAAGGTTTATGGAGTTGTTAGCTTGTATTTTTTTTTTTTTTAAGCAGGGTCTCGGGATAGTTTAGGGTAGTTGTGAACTCACTAAATAGCTCAGGCTGGCCTTGTACTTGCACTGATCCTCCTGCCTCAGCTTCCTGAGTGCTGGGGTTATAGGCACGCACCACTATGCCCAGCTTTTAAAACGTTTTAAAGTAAATATCCCCTTGTATTGAGACCGTCAGAGGCTGGGCTTGCCTGCCTCTGGTTAAATGAAGACTTCTAGGCAGAGTTTGGTAGATTACCTAGCTGTGATTTGTAGATGAGTAGATGGATAGATGATGGATGGATGGATGGTGGATGGATGATGGATGGTGGATAGGTGATGGGTGGATGGATGGATGGATGGTGGATGGATGATGGATGGATGGATGGTGGATGGATGATGGATGGTGGATAGATGGTGGATGGATTGGATGGATGGATGGTATATAGATGGATGGATGATGGATGGTGGATGGAGGATGGATGGATGGATGGATGGTGGATGGATAGATGGATGGTGGATAGATGGTGGATGGTGGATGGATGGTGGATGGATGGTGGATGGTGGATAGATGGTGGATGGATTGGATGGATAGATGGTGGATGGATGGAGGATGGATGGATGGATGGATGGTAGATGGATAGATGGATGGTGGATAGATGGTGGATGGATGGTGGATGGATGGATGATGGATGGATGGTGGATGGTTGGTGGATGGATGGTGGATGGGTGGTGGATGGATGATGGATGGATGATGGATGCTGGGTGGAATACGTGGTTGGCTAGATGGGCAGGTGGTGACTGGTTGAAAGGATGCATGACAGATGGATGATGGGTGAATGAATGGATGGATAATAGCTGAGTGATCCTTATCTCTGATAAACCACCTTTCCAGTTTGATCTGCAGTTGACCAAATTCCAGCACAGCAGCTAGTCTGTTACTGAGTTGAGGTTTGCAGCCTGGGGCTTCTCCAATACATGAAAAATGGTGACTGCTTACACTCACTAGACAGATTTTGGGTTTCTGTCCTGGTGCCAGAAGCTCCTTAGGGACATAGACCCAATTGGAGTCATTCAGACCTGATGTCAGGAGACTACAGGGAGGAGCCAGGGGCCGAGAACCAGGTGTGTCTTCGGGAGGGGAGCCTCCACCTCAGACCCTGTGTGTTCTGCTGGCAGGATGAGGCTCTGTGGTGCCCAGCTGGGCGCCAGTGCCGGTGTGGAAGCCTGACCTTCCAGGACTGCCCACCCCTCTCTGGGCCCTCTCTCCAGGAGCTTCTGCCTGCCTGGATCCCTTCTCCATCTGCAGATTCCAGCATAGGAAACTTTGCCCAGTTGTGAGCTGATCATCTTTAAGGACGGGCCTGGCCTGGCCTGGCACCTCAAGTCCTAACCCTGCCCCACAGGCCAGGAGCCCAGCGTCTCTGAATCTGCAGATTCAGGGAGCTCCCTCCTTCCCCCAGAGCAGTGCTGGAGCCAGGAAGTAAAGGCAGGGGGGGCCTGGCCACTGGAAGAGGCTGTGGGTCCCTAAGGGACCTCTCCTGAGCTCTGGGAGTTTGTACAACAGCTCTGTTACTGTGTCCTGGCTCTCAGGAGGGGTCAGGGCCGGTGTGCCTTTTGTGGACCACAGAGGTTCTGCAGACATGTCCTGGGGCCCAGACCCGTGCCCTGTGAACAAGGGGTGGGGTGCGTTTAACTCTGTGTCCAAGAAGAAGTTGGGGCCTTTGGTGACTTTCCTTGTTGGGAAACTGAGTGGGTTGGGAAGCTTTAGAGAATGGGAAGAGTTTACTGGGAGCTGTATTCGTGAGCTGGACCGAGGATGAGGACTCGGAAGTGTCACATCAGGACACTGCTGGACGAGCCCTTTCCTATGCACCCAAAGCTAAACACCAGGACCTGCAGGGACCTTGGCCTCTTGTTGTCCCCAGTCCTGCTCAGATGCAACTGGGGTCCAGATGAGGCCAGGGAGCAGTTCCTGGGACACCGAGCCAAGTGCCAGAGTGTGGCACGCGGCCGCCTACCCAGGCACAGTGCACTGTGCACATCCGGGGCTTTAGGGAGGGGGTGGTGTGTGCCTGAGGAGCTCCTAGCCACAGGGTGGAAACTCGTGGCAGGAGCAGTAGTGGCCTCCATGACAGCTGGAGGCGAGGTAAGGAGGGGGACGCATCCAGGTGGCTCCAGATGTCATCCCGTGGGCGTGGGGGACAGGCTGTCCTCACACACAGGTGGCTTCAGAGCTGTGCCCCTGGATTAAGTCACCCTGACAGCAGGCTGGGCCCTACTGCAGGCTGCAGGTTGTGGGGTGAGCAGCAAGGGGGTGACTATGTGGTTGGGAGGGACCCAAGGTGTGGTGGCCGACTGGAGAAAGAGCCTCAAGGAGGACAAAGTCCTGATAGCTCAGGTTCGTGGACAGCTGCTTTGGTGACCAGAAGCTCATCGGTGACCTCACCAGGAGTCACTGGGTGGGGTGGGGAGGGGTGGGCTCAGGAGTGGTGCAGGAAGCAGGCTGTGGTCATCCGTTTCCTGGGGTTACCATAACAAATCACCGTCATCCGGGCCGGGCCGAGTAACTGGACAGAAATGTGTGCTGTCACTGTGCAGAGGCCAGATGTCTGAAATCAAGCTGTCAACAAGCCCGGCTCCCTCGTGGTGCTGCGGGGCTGTCCGCTCCCCGCCTGGCTCCTCAGCTCCTCTGCTCCTGCTGGCCGCCAGCAGCCCCGGCATCGCCAGCTTGAATCTGTGTCCCTCCCTCACTGCCTGTGTCCTCCCCACCTGGCCTGCTCCCAGTGTCAGTGTGTGTGTTTCTGGGTTCTCTGCAGTGGGCTTAGGCCACTGTCATCCAGTATGACCTCACTGAACTAATTACATTTGCAAAGACCCTGTGCCCAAGCAGGGTCACATCCCAGGACTGGGGGTGCTCATGCATTGGGGGACCCCCCACCCAACGCCTGTGGATGTAGATGCAGCAGATACAGACTGTTAGGGTGTCCTCACACTGTGCCACCACCTGGGGGTGTGGTACGTGGCTGCTGCTCCTTCCCCGACAGCATCCCTGTGGACGTTGGGCCCCTGTGGGATGAGGTTGATGCCCCAAGTCCACTAACCGAGAGTGCTTGACCTCCCAAGGCAAGTGAGGAAGACAGGCCGTCACGGTGGGACTTGAGTGCTGTCGGCCACCCACAGAGCAGGTGTGGCAGGCAGAAGCCCCAGGCAGCTCTGGGCACCTGCGTCACCTTGGGGTCAGGCTAGATGGTAGCCATCTTGGAGGGTTGCTGCTCCTTTGGACATCCAGGAAGTCGTGCAGGTCCCAACGAACCCCTCAGGGCAGCCTGGCATGGGCACCCTCCACCGCAGGGTCTCCTGAGGCCAGCAGTCCCCACAGGGCAGGCAGGGTCTCCCCAGCAGAATCCCTCCCCCATGCTGGGCCAAGCAAAGGCCCCAATTCCCAGGGTGTCCCTGTGTGACCCCCTGCTGTCCAGCCTGCAATGACTACAGGCCACTTGCCTCTATGCCAAGGCCGCAACCCTTGCTGTCTTTCTGAGGGTGGGGATGGTGGAGACATGGCCTGGAGACCCAGGAGGAAGGGCCTCCACACACAGCAGCTGGACACCGCTCCGGGGACATCCCCGACTTCGAGATGCTCCCCCCTCAAACCTCACTGCTTCCCACCAAGACAGTGTTTCCCCTGCATCCAGCACCCTGAGGTCCCCCTTTACACCCTGCATCCAGGTGCGGTGAGGGTGGCCATGGTCTGGGGTTCAGGGAAGGCTTGGAGCCTTCCACTCCCAAGGTACTGTCCTGGGCGCTGAGGGCTGCTCCTTCCTGCACCTCTGACCCGATGGGATATCTGGTCCCCCTCCTGCTGCCCTGGTCATTGTCCCCTGGTCCAAAGCAGCCTACAGATAGCTGTGTCCCATGGAAACCACAAAGCTGGCCCACAGGCTTCTCTGGTTCCGCAGCCTTCGGCCTCACGGCAGCACCTGATTTAGCTGCCCTCTCCAGTCACCTCCTCTGTTATTCATAGAAATCACTCCAGTGAACAAGCACCTTGGCCTCTGAGGTGTGGGCGTGGAGGCAGAGGCACGGGCAGCAGGGCAGGTGCCCACTCTCCCTGCAGTGCAATTGCAGTGGGTTCTGGGTCTGTGGGCAGCACCACACACACAGCCCATACCCCTGCCCCAGACAGGGCAGAGCAGGCCTCGGTTCAAGTCCCAACTCTGTCTGCTCCAGCAGGACAGCCCTGGACGATTTATGTAGACTCTGTCCTGTTCCTCTTTTACAAACTGGACAAGTGGTGATTGTGGCATCTCTGTGGCTGACTGGTACACAGCTCACAGGAGAGCACCACCAGCTCAGCTCTGAGTCCGCTGTTCAGTTAGAATTAACATCAATTTCACTAGAGGCCAGCCCGAGCTGCATAGCAAGACCTTGTCAAAAAGAATTTCACTAAGAGTTTATTAAAATCTATACAGAGCCAGGCGTAGTGGCACATACCTGTAATCCCAGCACTTCGTGTTTAATATGTGTAGCAGCCGACAGGACGGTCACAAGCAGGAGCCCAGCCTGGACAATTCAGCAGCTGTCAGAACCTATCTTAAACAGCAAAAAGGGCCAGGTGTGGTGACCCAGCCTGCCATCCCAGCATTCGGGAGGCTGAGGCAGGAGGATCTTTGCGAGTTCGACACCAGCCTGGGCTACAAAGTGAGCTGAAGGCCAGCCTGAACTGCCTAGAGATACCCTGTCTCCAAAAAAACAAAGGGCTGAGGATGTAGCTCAGGGTGAGGCCCTGGGTTCAATCCCCAATACGGGGGGGCAGAGGGGATGTGCCAGTGAATGGTAGCCTTGCATGTGCTCGCCCTGTCGCTCTGGACCTGTGTAGTGCTGCTGACCTGAGTTCTGTCCCTCTCTGCCATCCCCAGCCGAGCCCCTGCCGCTCATGGACCTCTGCCGGCGGTCTGTGCGCCTGGCCCTGGGGAAGGAGCGCCTGGGCGCCATCCCTGCGCTGCCGCTGCCCGCCTCGCTCAAGGCTTACCTCCTGTACCAGTGACGCAGCCTGGACGCCGCACGACCACAGTCCACGGCGCCCATGAGTGCCGCTCACCCTCCCTGGCCTCCAGCTGCCTCTGCTGGACCGGACCGATGCCGCCCGCCAGCCTGCCCGCCTGGGCTCTGATCCTCCTGTGATGGGCAGCCCCACCTTGGAACCAGACACAGAGAATAAACTCCTACGAAAGCCTCCGTGCAGCCCCTGTCTGCTCTGAGGGTGGGGAGGGGCATGGGAGGTACCTGGGCTGGAAGGAGCACAGGTCCCAGGCAGGCAGCCGGCCGGGGCTGGGCAATGCCAGTGAAGCTCAGGATACCAAGTCAGAAGCCCATGTTGCTCCTTCCGAAGGCAGATGGGCACCCAGCACCTGTCCCAGCCGCCAGAGCCCCGCGCCCCATATTTATTCTTCTGACAATAACAGAGCCCCTTTATTTATTCCACTTAGAGAGGACCCTTATCTCAGCCACGTCTCTGTGTTGCTTCCCTGCCATCTGCCGCCTCCCTGGGCGTGTGTGCTGCCCCGTCCTCCTCCTCTGGGTCCTGCCTGTGGCGTGTGTGCCACTGTGCATAGGGTCCTGGTGCTGTGCCCAGCAGGTGTCTGGGACCGCGTGCTGAGGTACCCAGCAGGGCCCTCAGGGAGCATAGCCTCACGTGCAATACGAGTCTTCGGGTGCCCGCGTCCCCACTTACTTGGAGTCACACGCCACTGCACACGTCTGCGTGTGTCTGGTCATCTGTGAGCTGGGGTGGGGCGTTTCACTTTACATCTGCTCTTCTAGCTGAGGCTTCTTTCCCACTGGCATCCTGGTCCATGGTCCAGGGGACCTCAAGAACAAAGAGTGGGATCTCCATCCTAAGAAGCCAGGGGCAAGGGGAAACCAGGAGAGGCGTCCAGTCCTGGGGTAGCTGTGGCCTCTTCCCAGCACCCCGACAGAGCTTGGGGCCCACAGGAAGCAGCTTTTAGTCACCCTCATGCCCCAGTCCTAGGAAGGCACCCAGAGAGCTGCCCACCCCCGGAGCTCGCCCCTCACGTCGGCCCGAACCTGCCAGCGCCTCCCCATCGGTTGTATCTTGAAATCAGCTCCTTTAGGGTCTGAACTCTGCTCATGTCCTCACAGGTACAATAGGTGACTATTTGTTTAAAGTGGTTAATATATATACATATATATATATTTGTCCCTAAAAAATATGTTGTAAGCGGTTGCTCTAGGGTACTTTAAAAAAAGAAAAAACCTTCCTATGGAATATATTTTTTAAGCACAAAAATAGGTGCCAAGACCAGGTAGGAATGTAAACTGCCCCCCTCAGAGTTTGAGGGCTGTGTTTCCCCTTTCAGGGCAGGGGTCTGCCCTGTTAGAGTCTCGAAGGTTCTCCTCGCTTCTGTTCTGAAGAATGTTGCACTTGGAGAGGGTCACGTGTCCACCGTCCCCAGGTGCTGGTGAACCCCCACTCTACTCCCTGGGGCCCCACCCCACTCCTTCCCCCATCTGTCCAGAGCCTTGTACAGTTCCCCCGTTTTATTTTATGATGGCTTTAGCTAGTCAGTAACCTAATAAAGGAACGTTTGCTGAGATACAAAACCACTGTGGCCCAGTCCTTGATGCTTCGCAAGGGTGAAGGGGTGGGGCCGAGCGCGCCTGGGTCCAGGCCCCAACACAGCCCACGTTTTCCCTGCAACCTTTGGCAGAGGGGAGGGTGCCGGCCAGGACCTTGGCTGATGGAACAAGAAGTCCCCAAGGGATGACTGCAGGACACACCTTTTAGAAGTCTGGCACCCTATGCCCTGCGGAGTAGAAAGTACGTCTGGCTGGTTGGCCTGGGTAGGGAAGCTTGCGCTGACCGTGGGCTTGTTGGGAGGAGAGCAGAGGTGGTGTAGCAGCACCAAGAGTCCAGGCTCAGCGCTTGGAAGGAACAGATCTTTGTTTATTTTGTGTCCTCAGTGTCCAGTCCGGGGACACAGAATGCAGAGACAGTTACAAAGCCTTTGCCAGTGCACCTGCCCCGCTGAGCACCGCAGCAAGGCCCCGAAAGGAAGGAGGGGGATTCTATTCCGTCTTATTTAGAGGATGGATGAGCTGTGGAGAGCTGAGGACACTCAGTGTCACGAGTGGCTTCCAAAGAACCAGCAAGACTGTGTTTGGCTCGCGTGGGAACTTTTCATCCTACTGAGGCCCCTGGTCCAAGGTCTCAGGACCCCTGGAACCAAGGTGCACCTCCTGACTAGCTTTCCTCACATCTGCCCGTGGAGGCCCCTAGAAGGTGTTTGCTAGAACTCAGATTTCCAGGGCCCCCCCGAGATAGGCAGGATGAATATTTCTGGGGCCAGGCCTGGGAATCTGTACTTCCCCCAGACTCCCCAGGTGACCTTGCCTGAGGCTCCACGGTTTGTGACTGCGTCGGCTCTTTCTCTTGCAAAGTTGCTGGGTAAAGGGAAATTTGTTCAGCGTGTCGGTGGCTTGGCCCGGGGATGAGCACACAGATGCCTGAGTCAGACCTGGGTTCACATATTGGCTGTGGCCTTGCACGAGGCTCCCGTCAAATGGCGTTTCATGGCTGTGCCTGCCTCACAGGCGGGTGAAAGAGGACATGAGGCTGCCAGGACAGGGCCCAGCATCTGTGCAAATCATACCAGCAAGTACGTTAAAAACATGCCTCTCTGGAGCGAGGGCACTTCCTTCGGGGGCCTCGGAGGACGGACCGAGTGTTCCTGAACCAGCAGCTTCCTGCCGAAGGTAAGTTCTCCAAAGATCAAGGTGGACGCTGGGAAAAGGCGCCCCCCAGATGCCTGCCCCAGACACGGGTGGAGGAAAAGGGTGGTCTAGAATTATTTTTAGGTTGGAGTTCATGTCTGGGTTGCAGTTGGAGCTCGGGCTTCCTTTGAAAGGGGGTGGCCGAGAGGAGTGGGGTCAGGCATGGGGGGCGGGGGAGGCGTGGGGTAAAGAGAGGGCCTTTGTGCTGCCGGGGAGCCTGTGGGGGAGCCGGGCTCTGTGCTGAAGGGAGCGATATTAATAAAACCATCTGTGCAGACTTGGCCCATGTGGTTGTAATTAATCCCCTGCCTTCGAGCAGGTAGCCGGCGCTCGGGGCCTGGCCATAGATGGGAAGCCTCCCGTCTCCATCCTCCGCTCCGCAGCACGAGGAAGAATGTGCACTTTACTGAACCATAAACTATGCTGGGGAGCTGGGGAGGGGGTTGAAGACAGAGCAATTAGTTCATGCTCCAATCCAGACACCCAAACATGGTTGGATTCCAGCTGCAAGGAATATTTGAAATAAATGGGCTGCCCAGGGCCAGGAGTTTGCTGTTTTCTGTACGAGGCCATGGCAACCATGGAGAAAATCATGAGCTGGGACTGGGCTCAAGAATCAACAAATGATGTCCTGGCTGAGCGAGCCCGGAGGAAGCCGCTCACGGCTCTCCTAAGGTTTCTCAGGACTCGGCCGCTGGCAGGCGGGATGCAGCCGGACTGACCATCTTGCTGGTGCACTTGGGCTGCAGTGTCCTCTTCTGGGCCTGACTTTTTTATATAAAAAAGAGAAAAGTCAGTCTTCTGGAACCCCTCTTCGTACGCCAGTCACTGCCTGTGCAATAGTGACTTTCCCAGCCGGAGCAGATGCTCTTGGGGGAGAAGCCGAGGCCCAACTTCTGACATAGCCCTAGGTCTGTCTTCCTGCCAGGCCCCCGCTGCAGCTCATCTGGATCTCCCTTGAGGCAGAAGGGCTGCCTCCAGCCACCTGCTCATGTGGACCTGTCTCATGGTGGACCTGAGTTGTCCCTGAAGATGTGGCTTATTAATTCCAGGAAGCTTGAGACTAAGCATTCAGATCTGGGAATCTGCATCGTCCTCACCCTGGTGACTCCGATGCTGCTAGCCTGGAGGGGGGCCCTCGGGTCCCAGAAGTGTGCAGAGTCACCAAGTCCCCTCTGCTATTGCCCTGTAGCCTATTAGGGACCGGAGCCACGAGGCAGCCCAGGTAGCAGACAACTCCACGGGACATAGCCTGACTCCCCCACTGGCTCTGTCTGCACTGGGTATCAGTGTGGCCATGCCACCGTCACACCGTGCAGGGAAGGCTGCCCTTGGGAACGAGCTCAGCTGTCCCTGCGAAGCAGTTGGAGTACAGGCAGGGCAGTTCAGCCTGGCTCTTCCCTTGAGCCTTAGTGATCCTAAGGAGATTAATTGATGGAAAGTTGAACAAAGAGTGGGGAGGCCATCAGGTCTGCAATCCACCACCAGGTGAGACCCTTCTGGCTGTCAGTGTGACACCCAGACAGGACTATCTGCTCCAGAGTGGCTCTTTGCTATAAAGGTGAAATGTGCAGATCTGTCACTTTATTTATTTTTTTTTTTTTTGAAAGTACACAGCACAGCTTTATTTCTGCTCATTTTTTAGTGGCTTCACATTGAGTAAAACCAAACGGACCACGTGAGGGTCTCCAGCAGGTTTAGAACTTGGTTGTCCAACTCCCTATGCCAGAGGGGAGCAGAACAGAAAGGGAGGGGAGTGGGAGGGGATGGGGAGGGAAGGAGAGGGGCAGGCTTTGGTGTGCACAGTCTTGTGTGGCTTGAGCCTCCGCGGTGCCAAAGGTCCAGAGCGGGGCTCGATGCTGTACATGGCTATGGAGCAGAGGCGACAGGGAAGAGCTGAGGCCCAGACATCATTTGCACTGAAAATGGAAAGAAGCAGACTCCTCCTCCCCCTCCCGCAGTGCTGTGACCCTGAGGACAGTAGATGGTCCTGCTTGAAAACTGACTCTTTTTTTTTTTATTTAAAGAAAAGGAAACGAAAAAAAAAAAATACATGGAGATTAAAGAAAAAAAGGGTAGAAAAATAATACTAAATTACAGACAAACAAAAGGTAAGAAATTGCCAGTTGATAAGTTACAAATTGTCTTCTTCGAAATGGCTGTTTAGGTTATAGAATTAAAGTATTTAGAATGACATTCAAAAAAGTGACCCTACAAACCATTCTGCTCTATGGCCGAACAAAAGCTCCGTAATATGATTATCAGTCCCACCTATTTGTTTTACATCTCTAAGAGGATAAGGTTAACCATATCAAAACAGAACAGAACATTTAAAAAAAAATAAAAAACAATTTAAAGAAATACAGATTTCAAAGCAAGTCCACTGGAGATCTACCTTATCTAACTGTCTCTAGCTTCTTACAGATAGTTGTCCCTAACTTCACCCACTTTCTATACTTATTACATATTATAGAACTAATCAAATCATTACAGATCTGTCACTTTAAAGCACTAGCGATCACGGTGCCGAGCACTCCTCTCCTCCATCTAGTTCCGACGTACCCCATCACCCCAAGCTGCCCCTACCCAGGAAGCAGCCCCTGGCATCCAGTGATCCACTTTCTGTCTCACTGGCTTTGTCTGTTCTGGATGTTTCCAATCCATGGGGTCGTATACTGTGTGGCCTCTGGGTCTGTTTTTGCTTGTTTACAATTGGCTTTTTTTTTTTTTTTGTCTTTTTCCTTTTATCGGGACCAGGGATCAAACTCATGACTGCCTGCTTGCAAGGCAGGCACTTACGCCACTGAGCTAAATCCCCAGCCCCCTCCAATTGGCTTTTTAAGGGACGACTCCCTGACCCTGTACCAAAACTCTGCTTTGAGTTCTTGTTTGTCAAATGGGGAAAGAACTTCGTCTTACACGGGCAGCTTGAGAATTTGTGAGCCAAGGTCTCCATAGTGCTTAGAGTGCTGTCTGGCCACAGATCCACAAACGGTCAAGGATTAAGGGTGACTCCTTGGGTGCCCAGAGACCCTTGTGTGTGGCCTAAGCTACTGAAACCGGGCCTTTCCCAGAAGGGCGCCTTGCAGGAAAGCAGCCTGGCCTGAGGTCCTGGGGCCAAGACATCTCTTTCTGGGAGCTTCACACAACCTTCTACCCACATCTGCGGAGCAGAGGTCAGGATGACACCCACACTTCTGGTGATCACAATGTTTATAAAACAGTACAAACACGCAGCACAGCCCAGCGCCAGGCTGCGGTGGGTGCTGCCAAGCAGGCTAGACCCAAGCCACCTCTGTCCTGCCCTGGCCACCACAGTCGATCCCACAGCTAAAGATCTCCCTGAGAACCGATAGATGTTCTACCAGATGGACCCACAGGGTCACTTTGGAAGCCGTAGGGCCAGGCTCAGGCCAAAAACAAGTTGGGGAGACAGAGACTTGCACATTTTCAATGTCCCCTCTGGCTCTGGTGCATGGGCCCAGGGTCTGGGAAGAGTGGCTGTTGCAGGGGTCTGGGGCACAGAAGCCTTGAGGGGCACCCAGGTGTGCCCGTCTGTCTCACTGCAGTGGTTCAGCTGGCATCCCTCGGCTTCCCTGGCTGGGCCACGCTGAACTGATCGTACAAGGACATGGAATGTGAGCCCTGAGCTATTTAAAGAGCTCAGGCGGCTGGAGGCTTGGCTGGGCCCAGGCCAGGCAGGGGTGCCTCGGCCGGCGGCACAGGGCTCCTCCGTGCACATGGTTTGATTTACAGGAGGGCCGCGAGCCGCTCCAACTGCAGACGGAGAACTATTTGAAGCAGCTGCCAGATGTTGTGTCTGAGCTGGGTTTTTACAACTTGCTTACTGGTTAGCAGCCTGCCTCCCGCCGGAGTTCAGCTCACCCCAGTGGGTTCAGAGGCCTGGCGCGGCGCCCTCGGACTTGGCCCCAGCTTGTCCTGCCTTGCGTGAAGCCAGGGTAGAAGCTCGGTTTCCGAACTATCTACCTTCCCGGGGACCATGACTTCAGGACGTCTTGCAGGCCCCCTAAGAATGCTCTGGCTTGTTCTGTCTGGGGCCTCTGGAGAAGCGGAAGCCCCAACCCCAGACAACTATGCTGCAAGGCATCCCTTGAACAGGCTCAACATTCCAGGGCTGTCCCCAAGCATGTGAATGTCCTTGTCCTTCTATACTGACCTCTCCCACACATTTCTCTTTGACCACCTGGTGTCAGCCTCTTAAAATTGACCATGATGGGGAAAAAGAATTGATCATGGAAAGGGGACCAGGACTGGGATCACAACTCAACCAGGGGCTTTTAGAAGGGTCTAGAAGGTTCTAGAAGGTTCTAGAAGTTCCAGTGATGCAGGGAGGGACCAGTGGGACCAACCTACATAGGAAGGCACTGTGTCACACCACCTGTTGGGTGGACTGGGTTTTCCCCCCACGTGAGACTATTGGGGTGCACTTGAAGCTAAGGATGCTTCTCAGCCCCTCCCCCAAGGAGGCCTGTGGCAGGAGGTATATGACTCAGGGTCACAGTCACTTCCTGAGGCCATGGAAAGGACTTGGAGCAGTTCTGTGACAAGGCAGGGGTGGGGCCACGGGTGGAGACCATGTTTAATTCAGTTGCATTTGAAAGCATACTCGTGTCATCCAGGGACCCAGGACACCGCCAAAGTGGACAGAGTGTTCAGTCTCCTCCTGAAAGTGCCAGAAATGTTTTGTCCACTGGGAAGGAAAACATCCTTTGCCTGCTCTCTGCAGCCTGGCTCTGCTCTCCAGAGAGGCCTCCGGTCCTGGCGGTCATGAGACCTGGTGGGACTCTGGATCCCCGGGGTGCAAGGGAAGATCCATCCAGGTCACATTTGGGGTGGCTCTACAGTCCCTACCCCCAGTCCCTGCTGGTTTTTTTTTTTTTTTTTTTTTTTTTTTTTTTTGGCTTTAAAATCTTGCAAACAATCCAAAAAAGTCCTGAGCAGGCTTCTAAAAGCCCAGGACCAGCCTGGAAAGGATGGCAGAGGTTGGGGCACACCCAGGGCTGGGTGCTGGCTCCTTATCACATTTGTTTACAGGACAGTGGGGCATGGAGTCTCCCCCAGGCAGCCCCTGCCCATCCCACAGCTCCTGCCCCTGTTCTGCTGCAGACACAGCCGGCCGTGGGCCCTCCACGTCCCCCAGCCTGGCTTCCTGGGAGGGCGAGTTGGGGGTGTCCTTTCCACCCAGGAAAACCCAAGGCTTCTCTTCCTCCTCACTTCCAGGAGTGGCCAGTTCTGCTTGGGGCTTGGCGATGGACCCCGGCCAACTGGCCCAGGACGAACAGAGGGAAGCTCCCCGGCAGGCCCCCTGTGCGTTCAGGGTTCGAGGCATTGGGAAACGTTTCTGGCTGGTGCTTGGGGGAGGCCAGGGCCGGGCTCTGCGGGAAGTTAAGAGAAAAAGCAGCATGATGGAAGCCTGATGATGCCTCACTGGGCACAGGCCTCCTAACCTCCTTCGGCCCAGCAGACCCCGTTCGCTCCAGTCGGAGGGGCAGGGGCGGGGGGAGGAGAGCCGGGGCGTCCCGGCATGGCTGCCGCTTTCCGAAGCAGTCCTGGAGTCCTCCTTCCTGTCTACCAGCAGGAGGAAAGGTGCGGCCCAGCCAGCAAGAGAAAGGCAGCTGGTGGCACACAACGCCGTGTCCTCGTGCCCTGCTTCACCAGCCTGGCACCGTGTGACTTCTGGCTCATCCCCCGAGTTGAAATGCTTGAGAAGGGTAAACTCTGGGTGGACATCGATGCTGGAAATCGAGGCGGCCCCGACAGCACGGCCAAAGATCACGCCGCCTATTGGCAGCTTTGAGCCAACGACCCAACGAGTGAATGGACAAAGTAGCAAACGGGCCGCCAGGACACGAGACTCACCGGTGATCCCCAGTGCCCGTGTCCCCAGGGAGAGCGCAGGTAAGTGAAGGGACCCACAGAAGGCCAGGGCCTGTGCATGGAGACCCTGCTGGCCCGCAGTGCCCGTGGGGGGCCACGTCCCTTCCTGCACCTGTCCCGCCACTCAGGAGAGCCAGCTCTGTGGCCTCCCAAGGACCGATCTCCTCGGGGCACCCTCAGGCCACCCCGGGCCCTGGCCGCCTCATACACGGACACAGCTGGCTGGCTAATTTAACAGCCATGTAATCTGCTTGCTGTCCTCTACTCCCAGTAGACAGGGCTGCGCTCTCCTGGACGACCTCGGAGGATAACACCCGCTGTCTAGACGGAAGCCTCCCCTGACACGCTCATAAATAAAAATAGCTCTGCGTTCCAGTCCTGGCCGAGCCCAGAGGGGCGCGGGTTCCCAGCAGGGCAGGCTGGTGGCGACAGGGCTGTGCCCGCCCTGGTCCTGGGGCCTTGAGCTCACGTGCCGGGGAGGAAGGAGCCCGGCCGTCCTGGTGCAGCTGGTGAAGCGTCCAGCACCTCCCCGTCTCACCCCTTCCAGACACCTGTGGGCTGCTGGGTAGCAGGGAGCACGTCAGGAGACCAGGGTGTCATTGTCAGCCCAAGGCGATGTCCAGCCTCTGGTCTACTCCTGGCACTGGGCGCTGGTCCACACCCACCCCACCCCAGCTCCTTCTGACTCCCGGTCACTGCTTTGTACCCTGCTGACCCAGCACCTGCTTCACAGAGGCCAAAGAGGCCAGGCTGAGGTCCTCGAGCAGCAGGCAGGTGCGGTGACCTGGTGCTACACCAGGAGGGGAGGGAGCACAGCCACCATGCCAAGTCCCTCATTCACCACATACAGGACTGTCACGTAGATTCATTTATGTCTACACTGAGAACCGCGCCCTGGTGGGTGAGATACTGTTGTGCAGTATACAATCCAAACACTGGCCCGTGGCAGGCCCTTCATCGCCTTCTGACAAGCCCTAGTGGGTCAAGTCTGGAACAAAAGACCTGGCTCCTGTGTGGGTCAGCAAAGGCTTTATTTTGGGGTGGGGAAGTGAGAGGGGCCAGGCGAAATTTACAGAGACCAAAGGGGGTTCTTTAACAAGGAACCCGGCTGCCTTCGTTATTGGTTCCCCAGCGGACCTCGCCAACCCACTGCCCCCAGCTCATGGGTCGCTAGCCTTGCTCAGCCACCCAGGCCGGCAGTAGGACAGGCACAGCTGCCCACGGGGCCCCTGGGAACGGGGGGAGCCGTCCTGTCCTGCAGAGGGCCCCAACTCTCCTCTCAGCGAAATCTATGAAGCCCTGCAATATACGGCCTCTGCCAGGGGCCCCCACATGCCAAGCTGCTTTCCCTGCCCCTCCTGGTGTCCCCTTGCCCAGACAGACAGTGGCCCTGGTCCGGGAGGACAGGAGGGGGGACCTCCTCTGTGGCTGCGGGTTCCACCACCTCTGTGACAGAGAGGCTGATCTTCAGGGTCAGGGTCCCCACCCTGCCCTAGGACAGCTGAGGTGGCTCTGGTCACCCCAACCCACACCTCAGGTGCACCCCACCCCCACCAAGGGGAGTCAGAGGAAGCCCGAAGAAAGGGGCGGGGCCAGCTGGGGGCACACTGCACATGGGATATGACAAGGATCACTCCACGGGGTGGGGCCACTTCCCCCGGCGGGAGCAGAGGGTAAGCATGGAGGGCAAGGTGGCCCATGGCTAGGACCGGTCTGTCCCACACCTGCGGTGACTGTCACCTTGTCACCCCAGTGCACCAGACGAGCTAACGCAGAAGCAGAAGAAGGGCGAAGACAAAGCTAGGAAATGTCAACGTGAAACCTGTGCTTCTGACAGCAAAGTCCCCAAGAGCCAGGCGTGGAGGCACACATCTGTCCTCCCAGCACTCGGGAGGCTGAGGCAGGAGGGTGGTTGCGAGTTCGAGACTGGCCTGGGCTACAAGGTGAGCTCAAGGCCAGCCTGAACTGCATAGCAAGACCCCGTCTCAAAAAGACAAAAAAAAAAAAGTCCCCGAGAATCCACGCATAAAAGCAGGGAACCCCACTGGGGCAGCAACCAGAGCAAAGTCAAACTCCACCAGCAGCCCAGGCTGGGACCTCGGGACCCCTCTGCGCTCTGAGCCTGTGTGGAGCCCCGGAGAATTCCAGCTTCCCTAGACCCCCACAGCTTCCAGGAGGCTGGCTTCCTGTTTTCATTTTTACAGAGGGGGAAACTGAGGCAGGAAACAAAAGGCATCACCCAAGAATGCCTCACAGCTGGCTGGGGCAGAGCCGGACGGCAAACAGAGACGGCTCTGAGTCCTCTCTGGGCTCCATCCCCTCAGCCTCTCTGTGCCCTGCACCGCCTGGCACTGCTCTGGCACCAGCTCTGTTTACCCGGAGCTGTGCTGGAGAGGACAGAGCCACCCTGACTGTGCTCCACATCGCGTGTGGGTCTCGGGGACAGCATCATTGAGGGTGCCGGGACAGGGTGGCAGCATTAGGCCAGCAGCCCGGCCTTCACCGTGAAGTAACCTGAGAGCCTGGGGGTGTGGATCCAAGGCCATGAGTGAGAAGTGCCGGATAGGGTTCCACTCTGCTGTCCCCTGTCACTGCCTTGGCGAGGGCCTGGAACAGTGCGTGGGGACGGAAGGTCTGGAGCCTCAAAAGCAGACTTGGAGGTGGCACCTGAGTCACCGGCCCCTTGGGAGCATTTGTGCTGTAGAATCTCGGAACCAGACGGTGCCCCAAGTCTCACCGTGTGACAGTCTGAGAGCCTGCCCCCCCTTCCGGCAGCCCTGCCTGCCTCAGGACCACAGTGAGGAGGAAGAGGTCCCACTGCCACCTGTGGCTCCCCCACTGTCCCCACCCAGAGCCATGAAGCAGGCCACACTGCCCCTTCCCCTGAAGTCCCTCTGGGGAACCCCTCGACCTGCACCTGACCGTGTCCACCAGGGTCTCCCCAGAGAGCTGTCGGGGCACTGTGGCAGAGGTGCTGTTCGGGGCCTGATGCTGAGTGAACCAGAACCTGGGTTGTTCCAAAGACCCAGCCCGGCCTCCTCTCCATGCCCACCTGCCCTCAGCTACAGGAAGCTGCCAGAAGAGTCAGTCCCCCTGCAGGAGGGAGGTCTGAGGTGGCTTCCCCCAGGAAGGGCAAAGCCGGGCTGGCAGTGAGGGGCTGCTTCCTCCTTTCCTGGTTCCTCTATCAGACATCAAACACCAGGTCCTTCCCCCTGGCTCCCAGGTCCTGGGAGTGCCACCCACATGGCCCGGACTGGGCAGGGTCCCCAGTCCTCACAAGTAGGTGCACAGCGCTGGCGTGTGTCACCCTGTACCCACCCCCTCATGATCTGGGTGAAGCCCCGCGGAGTTTGGTGGCTGATATCAGCTAAGTTCAAGATCGCATTGACAGAGCGTTGGCAGGTAAGCAGTTGCTTCTCTTGCTTGTGGTCTCTGGTTTTCCAGTGTGTCCCCATCTTAAGACAGACTCACAGGCCCTTCTGGGCTTGCACTGATCCCTGGCCACTCGGAAAAAGAGGTAACTGGGCTCCCCAGGGGATCCCCAGTGAGGTGGCCTTCTGTTTGTCTGTTTTCTGGTCACACAATCCTGCCAGAGGCTGGGAAAGGATTGGTTTTATCCAAACCCAGGACTGGTGGTGGCAGGGGTGTCCCTGTGGCTCCCATCAGAAGAAGGAAGCTACCAGGCAGGGCTGCAGGCTCACGGCAGTCCCTAGGAGTCTCCCGTGGCTGTGTGACAAATGTCAAAGGTCTAAACAGCTCAGGTGTGTCCCCTGCAGCTCTGCAGGCCAGAAGAGCTGGAGTAGAGGGCCCACATCGTCCTCTCCTGACCCTGATGCCGTGACAACAACCAGCTGACGACTGCCGTGTTTTGGTGGTCCCCAAGTCTCTGCTCCTTCCCAGAATAGCCAGGAGGACCCCTCCCTGCCATCAGCTCTGTTTTTCCTTTTAGCCATCTATCACCCAGCCCTGATAGGCTGGGAAGTTGGTTTACGAGCTTTATCTCCCACTCCTCCTGTTCCTGGCCAAGAATGAAGTTCTTCTGGGCTGCTCCACTGGTGCTGGGTCTCGGTTCCACAGTTCAGCAGGAGGAAGAACCTTCCAGAGCTAGCACCTGCAGGATCCGTGGGCATCTGGGGCCCTGGCCTTGCCAGGCTTCCTGCCCCAGACAGGGGGTCCCAGCAGACCAAAGGCTGCGTCCTATGCATAAATCCTGGGACAGATTCGAGGTCCCCAGGAAGGGGGCCAGAAGGGAAATGCAGCCCAAAGACCGCGTCCGCAAGGGCCACCCCTAAAAGCCCAGGGCGCCCTGGTCCTGTTTACCTGAATCTCAGTGCACGGAGGCTGGTGGGCCCTGCCATGGTGTCCTGTGGCCCTGGGACTGGAGGCGAGTGAGCGGGGCAGTGACCTAGAGGGCAAGGCATTCTTGCAGGTCTGGGGTTTAATCACAGCAGGTTACTTGTCAGAGGCCTCTGGGGTAGGCCACCAAGGCGCCCCCAGCGAGTCCGGGCTGTACCCTAAGCACTTGTGCCCGGTTCCCTAAGGGGACAAAGCAGGCAGAATAATGTCCCCCCAGAGATGTCTATGTTCTCACTCCGGAAGCCTGTGGACAGGTGGGCTCCTGCGGCACAGGCACTTTGCAAATGTGATTGGGAGCACGAGGTAGTGTGGGGTATCTTGGGGGGGGGTATCTGGGGGGCCTGATGTTATCACAAATGTCCTTACCAGAGATGGCCTGGAGGGTCAGAAACAGAGAGACAGAGACACTAGAGGCATAAAGAGAGATACACACACAACAGGAGGGAGCGATTCGGCAGGGACGGACAGGAGACAGGGACTCCCTCCCCTCCGGCTTTGCAGCTGCAGCCGCTGGCCACACCACTTCCTCTCTCCCAGCCTGCCTCCTGGGCTGCGGACCACCTAAGAGCTCGGCTCTGCACACACCGGAGGCCCCAGCACCTGCACAGAGGCCTGCGCTCACCGTTCCGGGCGAGCCGAGGCAGCACACTTCGGCTTCACCTGCTCATCCTCCCATGCCCGGCCCCCAGCCTCGAGCCAGGGCCCTGCAGCCTGCCTGGCACCCACTTTGCTCAGTAGGCTCCGGGCAGGAGCCCTGGGGGTCAGTGGAGGGACCTTCCTGGCCCAGAAGGCAACCGAGGCACACAGGGTCCTCCCCTGCTGCGCCCAGGAGCTGCTGCTGCAGACCCACCTGGAGCCAGCCCCGCTCTGCTTCCAGCTGTCACTCCCATTGGTTCTGAGCTGCAGGTGGCCTGGGAGCCCTTTGAAGTCCCTGCCTCCTCAATGGTCCTTCCCTCTGGCTCCCCTGGGGACCCCACTCCCTCTGGTATAGGTAAGCACCCCCAAAGCTCGGTAAAGAGGGCCATCTTCCCTGGGAACACCCCACCATGCTGGCCCTCCTGCAGCTGCCGCCCTGGTTCTCAGGCTGGGACTGTGGCATCTTGCACACTGATGTGGACTTTAGGTGCAAGAGGGACCAGAAGCCATCGGGGTGCCCAGCCAGATCCCTGGACCCTGCCCCTCTCCTCAGGCTGATGAGCTGCAGAGGCAGGAAATGCAGTACCAGCTGCTCTGGGTACATCAGCTGGAGGTGGCTCTGCTGGGATTTGTCAGAGATTCCTAGCGTGTCGGCAGCCAGCTGACCATGGGGACCTTTTCCAAGTGAAAACCTCGGCCTGGGCTTGGCCAGGACCTGGCATATGCACTGAAACCAGCCCCATCCACCTGGCCAGAAACATCAATGGCCTGGGCCACACCAGCCAGGGCTCCATAAGGAGAAGTCTGACTTTGATCCTTCAGGCTCCCGGAGGAGAGAGTGGGTTCCCTTCTGCCAGGGCTGGGTGTCACAAAAGGGGTTTGATCTCAGCATTCAGGAGGCTGAGTCAGGAAGATTGCCACGAGTCTGAGGCCAGCGTGAGCTACGTAGTGAGTTAAGGGCCAGCCTGTACTACATAGCAAAGCACAAGTTGGGTAGGTGGTTGGCATCTCTGATTTGGCCACAGCTCCCCCCCTTGGCCCCTTCTGTGCCAGCCCATGGTAGAATATTAGCAGCACAGCAGAAGGCTGAAAAGCAGCCTGGGGAGAGCTCCCTGGACTGGGCCTGGCAGGGCAGGCAGCAGACAGGGCCCACTGGCCTACAAGGAGCAGGCAAGGGTGCAGGAGAGCCCGGGGAGGGACAGCTGGCTGTGCCTCTGGCATGGGGAGTCTCACATTAGATGCTTTCTAGCCCTGCAGCGTGCCAGGTCCGGGAGTGCCAGCCCTGCACAGGGGGCCTGGCACCCTGAGCCTCTAGAGGCTGCACCTGCCCGGCCAGTGCCTGAGGAAGTGACCGGGCTGAGAGCTCCTGCAGGCTGCATCCCCAGGGAGCGCACAGGAACGAGCCTGGGAGTTCTCTGGCCACCGCAGTCAGGCTTGGTCAGGCCTGGGAGGGCGTGGGCCAAGCCTGCCGGTTCTAATTAGGGAATTGGGCTCTTCACACAGCCAGAGGGGCTGCAGGGTGCGCCAGGCCTGCAGGCAGGCGAGCCAGCGCTGTTTTGTATGGCATCTCCTAGCAACGGGGCCACTGTAATGGGGAAGGGGCACCCTGGGAGCCAGAGGGCAGCAGCCAGCCCCGCTGCAAGACCTGAGAATGGCCAGGAGCACATGGACGCCTGTCTGGGGCTGGAGCTGAGCTGTTCCTTTCTGGGAGCTACCCCTCGCCCACCAGGCCAGCCTTACGGGGCACAGACCCATAACTAGAACCTGAGGGCAAACAGCTGCCTTCCAGCCCAGGGTAGCACAGCCAGGCCCAGGGGACTGAAGACAGATCCTGGCCATGCGCCCTGCTCGCTGCCTTTGGTGGCCCTGGGTGACTTCCTAAGACCCTAGGGCCTAAACAATGCCCAGTGCACAGTGGGCGCCTTGCCAGTGCAGAATGCATGAACACAGTTGGTACGGAAGCCTCTCTGGCACACAGTAGGTGCCAGTGTGTGCGCTTAGCAACAAAAGGAGCTGAGCCTGTCTTTTGCGTCGTGCAGGTGGCCACATGGAGGTCCCCTTCTCAGTGCAGGGACGGGAGGGAGGAGGGGCAGCAGGGCAGACAGTGCTCGTCTGGCCTCTGAACACTTTCCCGGCAGTTCCTCTGATTCACTGCCGTCCCAGGAACAGTCATGGCTGTGTCAATAAATATTGGTGACACAGAGTGACCTCTCCGTCTCGCGGGCCGCTGGCCCTTCCTGCCCCGCCAGAGGCCCTGTCCAGGCGTTGTTATTACAGCCAGCGCGTGAGTCTCTGCCAGCACGCAGCCTCAAGGGGAGAAGGAGCCCCCTGAAACCCCAGGAAGCAGCGCCTGTGCCCTGGACGGGGGGCCACGGTCCCCAGGCCTCCCACTGCAGGGGGATGGGGACCCCAGAACGCCCCGATGCAGAAAGGGCAGGAAAGGCGCCTGGTGCTGACCCTGCCCTTCTTTCTAGAACAGGACGGCGCTGCTGATGGACACACAAGCTCGGCAGAGATGAGCTGTCTTTCCTCCTCTGGGGCCTCGCACTCTGCAGCGCAGACAGAGGAGAGTTTGCGTTCCATGTTTCCCCAAGTGCAGGACAACCGAGTTCACCCTGGGAAGGAAAAGACAGTGCCGAGCCCACAGGGCTGCGTCAGCTCCTCCATCTCGCCTGTTTCCAGAACATCGCTGTCACATGCTGTGTCTCCAGCAGGCGCTCTGGGAAAGCCACCAAGCCTGAGGAGGGCCAGTCTCCAAGAGCCACAGTCAACAGGAAAAGCAAAGCCTCTGGGAGGCTGAAGCAGGAGGATCGTTCGTTCGAGCTTTGCCTGGGCACCTTAGTGAGACAATGTGTAAATTGAAAAGAGGGGTGCTGAGAGCAAGTTCAGTGGGAAGGTTCTGGATTCAATCCCCAGAACCAAAATAAAATAAAAGAGGAAAAGTAGATCATTCAGGGAGACGCTGTGAGAGAAAGGGAAGGTTGGTTACAGGCAAAAGGGACAAGCAACCAAATTCCACGCGCGACTTGTGGCTGGAAACTGTGTGGGAGCTCAGAAGGCAAGTGGCTGCCTTCAGGGCCCTCAGAGAATATGGTCACAGACTGTGTGTAGTGTACACCCCGGCACCACGGCTGGATGGGCCCGCGGGTCATGCAGGAGGCCGTCCTGGGCCCCGCAGGTACCAGTCCCTTAGTGCGGAGGGAAGGAGACCCCTTGCCTGCCTGTACGGAGGGCAGTAGGGGCAAGGGCGAAGGACCTGCAGGCCACGCAGTGGTGGCTGAGAAGGGGGGAGACAGGGACCCTGGGGACCCCGGGGAAGGACAGGACGGGGGAGGCTGTGACAAGTCCACGCAGGGGTCGGAAGGCCCATGTGCCTGACCTCAGGCCTCTCTGTGGGGTCACCTCGTTCCTCAGCTGGGCAGGCTGGGCACCGCAGAGGTGAGGACAGTAAGGACAGACAGGGGGACATTTACACCAGACACGCATTTCCCAGACTCTTCTCCCTCCCCTATGCGGGGATCAGGACACTGTTGACCCCCAGGCTCTGTGAGTCAGGACTGGGAGCTGCACTGGGGGCCACCCCCGGCTCCCACACCCCCATCCCCCATCCTGTGTCATGAGTTGGAACATGCTGACTCCCAGAACTCTGCTGAAGAAGCCACACATTCCAGCCTGGGCTTGCTCTGTCCCCTTGGGTCTTGTGTATTTCCCATGGGGCCAGTTGGGTGGTATAGTCGGGCGGAAATGGGACAAGGAAATCTAGAGATGCTGGGTGCCAGCCATTTATCTCTACCTGCAGACTATTGCCCCTCCATTTAGCCATCCAGGCCATGGTGCCACAGCAGTGATGGCGAACCTTTCAGGGCTTTCAGTGATAGAAACAGCCACGCGTGCCAGAGGCTCACCCTCACTGTGACACAGTCCGTGGGGAGGTCGCAGTTATTACAATGACAGCAACTCGCCGCTGTGCTGGGTGAGGCAGTGACAGGCGCCCATGCTGTGGGACCCGCCTACAGGTTACTACCTGGAACGGCCAGTGCTGGGCTGAGTGACCACCGGCCTCCATCCTCCTCACAGCACCTCTGTGTGGTGTTGATGTCCCCACTGGACAGAAGGGACAATGAGGGCTCAGAGAACACGCGAAGGGCACGGCATCACGTCAGAGTCAGGATCTGAACTCAGATCTGCAGCCTGAGCTCGAAGGCCCCAGCTCACCCTTTGTTGGGTGGCAGCTAGGATCTGAAGTCCCAGCCCTGTTGGGGTCTGTCCTGATGCCCCCATTTTCACTTTTCCTGGGTGCTGGGCTCCTTCCTGCATGTGGCTGTGACTCTGGGTCCCCACCTTCATGCCGGTGACCTGTGCTTATGTGCTGGATCTAGCTACCTCACAAGCACAGTGCGGGCATCCAGCAGGGAAAGCTTCAGCAGCTTGCTCTGGCCACCCTGCCGACCTCGCCAGCCACAGCCTGCAGTCCCGTGGGTTCTGGACGCCCCACCTGGCTCATCCTCAGTGGAATGATGGGACAGACTCTCAGCATCCCGGAACCTCCCCTTCCTGCCTCGGAGGCCAGGCACAGGTCCCCACCTCCTGTCCCTCTTCCCACAGCTGACAATTGCTTGCATGGCTGATGCGTTCTGCTGGGCTTAGCACTCGCTGTTTACAATCGTCCTGCGACCTCTCTCTTCCCAAGTGGCTTGTCTGTCCCTTACCTGGTGTCACCTGCACCCCTCCACCATCAACAATTCCAACCAGCCGGAAGCTTCCTTCTGCCTAGAATACTCTTTCTGTCCAGGTCGCCTTTCCCTGCACCCTGCCCTGCCCTTGCTCTGGCATGTCCTGGGTGGCACTTTACACCAGGAGGGTCCGGGGCTGGAAACCCCACACACAGGTGCACACCCCACTTTGGAGGACTTGCAGCCCATGCACACCACCCTACCCAGGGCAGTGCTGTCATTTCCTGGTTCCATCCTTGTCTCGTTCTGGATCACAGACTCCACGGGGATCTTGTCCACTGCAGCAGGGCCTGAAGCGTCACATTGACCAAGAATGATAAATGGCAACACTGACAAGTTATCAGAAAAGATGAAAACAAGTAGCCGGGTGTGGTAGCACACACCTGTAATTCTAGTACTCAGGAGGCTGAGGCAGGAGGATGACAAATTCAAGGCCAGCCTGAACTATAGAGCAAGACTCTTTGTCAACAAAACAAACAGACTTCCCACGTCCATGGCCACGTTCTGTGCCGTGCTGGGGAGGGGAGGCTCTGTACCCATAAACACAGCACATACACGGCGGTGCAATTTCCTCCCAATCAGTGCTCGAGCAGCATCCGACTCAGCAAAGGAAACGGTTTGCTGTTGAAGGACAAACATGGTCCTGACGCACAGGCCGCTTGGTCTTTCCATTCCTGTGGGGAAGGAAAGCGAAACCCAGAAGATGGAGGTTAGAACTCCAGCTTCCCGCTTAGCAGCAAGAAAAAGCTTGAGCACCGGGAGAGACTGCCTCTTTCTTCTCCTCAGCCACATCCTGGCTAACTGTACAACTCACTTTCAAGTTCAATCCACATTGTTAACATTTTCTCCAGCACTTTTTCTTTGTGGGTGTGGGACTAGGAACAGGACGCAGAGCCTGAGTTACATCCCCAATGCTTTTTATGTTTTATTTTGAGATGGAGTCCTGCTGAACGGCTACATTCCCCAGGCTGGTTTGGACTTGTGATCCTCCTGCCTCGGCCTCCCATAATGTACTGCCGCTCCCGGCTTCCTACCATGCCTGGCTTCCACACTTTCTTAAATCTAGAAAATCAACGAAACATTAAATGAAATCCTGACTTGGAGCCTTTGCCACTTTCTGTAGTGCAAATCCTCCCAGCCTGGCTGATGCGAGGCACCAGCGTGACATTCTTCAGGATGGAGCTGAGAAGACATCGTCACCCGCCACTGCTGTGTGACATTTCCAGCACACGGTACAGTGGACGTGACCACAGGTCACAGGAAAGTGGACTAAAGCGATTCGGAAGTGGTGAGTTTTGTTTTTAATGATTCCTTTGCTTGGAAATCAGTAGAACTTAACTGTCGAAGGTGCCTGTGTTTAACGACAGAGCTACAAAAATTCCTGCAGTTTTTAACAAGCTGTTCTCAGGAGCTGGCTCCAACCTGCCCGGGGTAGGCCTCGTCATCCCTTTTTATAAACCAGGAAGCTGGGGCTCAAAGCTCCCCAGGAAGGCTGGACTCCAGGGCGGTCCAATGCCAGGAAGACTTAATCCTGCATCAGCTGCCTGAGCTGGGCTCTCCCCAGGCAGAAAAACGAACCACATGCATGTTCGGAGATTGGTTGTGTTAACACATAGTTAATACCCTTCTCCGCTAATCTGGTCTGGCCCCTATCGAAGCCCTAGCATATAGAATCCAGGAGAAAAGAGTTATAACAGGAGGCCCTCCAAAGAAACTGGTGAGGTGCCAAAAGCCTGTGACAAGGCAGGAGCAGTAACCTGAGCACTCAGGAGGCTGAGGCAGGAAGATCAACGTGAGGTCAGGGCCACATAGTGAGTTCAAGGCCAGCTAGAACACATAGTGAGACCTTGGAGAGGGGAGAGGAGGGAGGATCAGGGAGGGGGAGGGGGACAGGAAGGGGTAAGGGAAGGGTGGAGGCCGAGGGTGAGGGCACAAGAGGCGGCAGGGGAGTGAAGGGACAGCTGCCCAGCTATTCCTAACATAGAGTCCCAGCTCGGCCACCCAAATGCTAAGGGCAGGCTGGGCCTCAGGCTTGTCCTCTTCGGGCCCGGGGACACCCAGGCCTGCTTGTTCTTTGCTAAGGGAGGTGCGGGCAGTGGGAGGCAGCACCCCCGGCCTCCACCCCTTCCATGCAGGAAACAGCCTTCCCCACCCCAGGTTAGGCACCACAAATGTCTCTGGGCTTGTAAAGTGCGCCCTGCAGTAGGGCAGGAAGAGGGCAAAGTCAACTCAATTGAGAGCCACCCGGCTCGGGGGAGAAGGGCCAGGGAAGTCCGGCCTGGCAAGGGTGGGAACAGTCAGTGAGACCCTCTCGGGCCCATCTAGCAGAGGGGGTGGCAGGCGCGGAGGGCGGGGCCCGGAACCACAGCCTCGTTCACCCCGAATTCCATGCAGAGGCTCCGTCTGCTGTGTGCCAGGCACCATCAGGCTCTGAGACCCACCAGGAGAGCCAGGAGGGCCTGCCCTGGCGTCTCACATCCTCCCTGGAACTGAAGAGCGCTGGGCTTTGCACTGTGTCCACACACAGGACAGAAAGCCGTTAACTGGGGGACAGAGGAGGAAGAGGGTTGAGAGCGGTGGATATCTTCCCACATGGCTGTGCAGGGCCCAGGAAGACTTCTGGGACCACTGGGAGTCAGTCAGACAGCTAAGAGCACAGGAAAGTGCCCGACAGGCAGAGGCAGAGCGCGTTCGATCAGCGGAAATCAGAGCAGTGCAATGCGGCGCCAGCGCGTGAGTTTCTTGCTGCAGCCGTGATACATTAGCATGACCCAAGTGGTTTAATGCAACGTGCGTGTAGCGTTCTATAGTTTTGGAGCTCAGAAATCCACACTCGTGTTTGTCCCCAGGCTGACACAGAGGGGACAGGTGGGCTGTGTTCCTCAGAGGACATGTCCACAGGTGCAATCCCAACCAACAGTAAATGCTTGGCATGGTAAAGAGGACGTCAGGGGCACGCCAGGCCCAGGAAGGTCAAGGCTGGATCTGCAGAGCTCAACTCTGCTCTGGGCAGGGCTCAGGGACAGGCTGACAAAGATCTCATTAAAAGAAAAGCTGACGGCACATGTCCTGTGCACGGTGGGCACCCGGCAGATGCTGTTAGATAGATTTAGGCTTTCAGAGAACGCGACCAAAATCATTCCTCCTGGCTGCAGAGGGAAGTGTGCCATCTTCCTGGGCATCCTGGTGGGTTTAGAGCAGGATCCCGGCCTCCAAA